ACCATAGAGTTGCACAATATCGTCCGGATAGTCGCACATGAATTGCCGGGGGAGGTGCTCACGCCCGGCCGCGGAGTTGCGCACTCTCGTCGGTATAGTCACACATGCATGGCCACAGAGTTGCACAATCTCGTTCGCGTAGTCACACATAAATTGTCGTGAGAGGTGCTCACGCATGGCTGCGGAGTTGCACACTCTCGTCGGCACAGTCGCACATACATGGCCATGGAGTTGCACAACCTCGTCCACATAGTCACACATGAGTTTTTATGGGAGGTGCTCATGCCCGGCCACGGAGTTGCACACTCTCGTCGGCATAGTCACATATGCATGGCCACACAGTTGCACAATATCGTCTGCATAGTCGCAAATGAATTGCTATGGGAGGTGCCCACGTCCGACCACGGAGTTGCACACTCTTGTGTTCATAGTCGCACATGCGTGGCCGTGGAGTTGGGACATTCTTACAGGATAGTCCCTCAAACACGGTTGTAGAGGCTCACACGCGCGATGACTACCAGGCAGTTGGCCAGGGCACCGGGGCAGCAGATGAAATTGCACATTTCAATTTTAGAGAGTAGTATGGGGTGGTGCCACTAGTGAAAATTGCATGGCCTGGGCAACAAACGAAGTTGCACATCTCACTGGAAGGAGGCAATTTGGGGATGTAGGTACCATAGAGAAAAACTGCATGTCTACGGTGTACAAGAAAAGTTGCACATCCCTGTCAGGTAGTTGCACATCGACGGCTAGTCAGTTACACAAAACGGGAACAAAATTGCACAAAAAAAAGTTTGTCAAAACATATCCATGCGGGATCTAGTTTCGAAGAGCACATCGCGAGGATTTTAGTGGTGAAAGCGGATCTTAATTTCGATATTTGGTTCAAAAGTTATGGCTTTTTTAAGAAACAAAAATTAAAAAGCAAACTAGATGATCAACTCCCTTTAGTGTACAACGAACCACGTACTTACCTTTTCCACCGGCCGCTCCTAAACTTTACCTGGCGTTTTTAATATGCGGCAGTGACTAGACGTCTCGGACAGGGGCCGGCCGCTCGCGAGCGGTACCTAGCGCCCGGCCGCCAGCTAGATTGGTCCATCTTTGTATACGGAAGTACTCTGCACACGACCGTGCATGGACGAGATCCGGACGATGTCCATCTTAAACGGTGCTAATTTGCTAAAAAATGCTATCCATCGATGATTTGATCCATCGTCCAGCTTTCGGCTGGAGATGTGTCGTCTCTGTAGCACTGCTCGCAGCATGTATGTCACATCCATGGCTGACGTCTATACGTAGTGAAAAGCAGTGGAGCAACCAGAATGGCCACTAGCACCAAGCGCCTACTTTGCAGCCCAGGCAGTATACAATGACGACCTCATGCGCGCGGTAGCTAACTAGCTATAGCTACATAAGCACATGCGTACATGTACTACCCACCAAGCTCTCCATCTGTCGTCTTCTCACTTCGCATGCACTCTGCGCGCGCGATCGAGCCGAGAATGGGCATGGCCGCAACCAACAACAACAACGTGAGCGCGGTGGCGCCGCCGCCGTCGTCCATGTGGACCAGCACGAGCCGGCGCTGGCGCCCGTCCCTCGCGTCGGGCCTCCGCGCCGCCCTGGCCTGCACCATCGTGGGCGTCGTGTCCGTCTACGCGCCGCCGCCTCTGCAGCGCCACCTCACCTTCCCCGCCTTCTCCTACGTCGTGACCGTCATCATCGTCACGGACGCCACCGTGGGCACCGCCCTGCGCGCGACGGCCAGCGCGCTCCACGCCACCGTCATGGGCGCCGTCCCCTCCGTCCTGGCGCTGTGGCTGGCGCACCGCACGGGCGCCGCCGAGTCGGTGCTGGCCACGTCGGCCGTGGTGGCGCTGAGCACGTTCGCGGTGGCGCTGCCGGAGTCGCCGGGCCCCGTGGCGAAGCGGATCGCGCTGGGGCAGATCATCATCATCTACGTGGCCAAGTTCAGGCGAGGGGACCGCACGAGCCACGAGCTGGTGCTGGAGCACCCCGCCAACGTGGTGCTGTGCACGGCGCTGGGGGTGGCGGCCGCCTTGCTGGCGGTGCTGCTCCCGTGCCCGCGGCTGGCCACCCGGGAGGTGGAGGACAAGAGCAGGGCGTACATGGAGACCGCGGCGGAGAGGGTGAGGGTGCTCGTCGACGCGTTCCTCCTCACCGCCAACGACACCGCCTGCGCGGATGATGGCCAGGAAACAGCCGCGGCCTCTGGTAGACGGCGGCGATGGTGCATGGCAGCGTGCATGTCACAGGCCAACCGTCTCGCGTCCGCAAGCGCCGCCCTCCTCCGCCGCATGGCCGCCGTTAAGGTAATTTTGTTTAACGATCGTGCATGAGAATAAGCACAAATCTTTCTTTTTAGCAAAGTGGTCATGCATGTCATGCGTATCATAGATTCATTCATTCATATCTAGTGCTAAATTCCTGCTTGCGTCAGTTGGGTGCATGCTTAGCTACCGAAAGAGCTTGCTAGATGCCAAAAGTAGACCAGCACTATGCACTGGAATGCAGCGCTAGTGCTACCTGGTACTATTGGAGTCCTCGTCAGAAAACGAGTAGTAGTATGACTGGTCTTCGGCATGCCGCATGCATGCGAGTTAGTACTACTATAATTAGGCAGTAGATTTGCACGGATCTGGTACGTACACACGATGAACTAAACTTGGATTATCACATGCACGCGTGCAGGGAGATTTGCAGTGGGAGAGAGTGCCAGCAGTGCTCAGGCGGTGGATGCCGCAGCAGGCGGTGGTAGACCACGGCCGCATCGAGATGCCCATCAAGGGAATGGAGATTGCGCTCACCAGCGCTGCCATCGCCGGCAGCAGCCCTATGATCTGCAGCAGCTGGTTGGAGCATATGAGAGACCAGATACGCCTCTCCATGCTCACTACACATCGCCACCACCACTGCAGCAGCACCGCCGCCACCAGCGTCGCCATGACCAAGACGACCATCAACAAGCAATCACCATTAATGTTGACAAACGATACGATGACGACGTTGTTGCCGGAGAGGCACGAGGAGCTGTCTCCTTTCCTCTTCCTCTTCTCCATGCATCTCCTCCGTCATGGCACCCTGCAGCAGTTGGCCTCCTCCCATCCGGATCAGACCAAGACTACCAACTGCAAGGTAACTCCGGCAGCGACAAATGCCGAGGATTCGACCGACGATGACGATGTCTTCTACCTGTCCGAAGAAGAGGAGGACGAAGAGGTACAGGCCAGCAGTGGAGAAGAAGAAGAAGGTCAATTGCAAGAACATGGGGCGCCAAATAAGACTGGCCACATGGAAACGACATCCAAGAAGCAGGAGAAGAAGAAAAGCGTGTGGCTGAGGTGGGGGCTGGAATGGGAGAGAGTGGTGACGGCGGCCAAGTGCGCCGTGTCGCTGGGCCTCGCCGTCCTTCTCGGCCTCCTCTTCAACAACGACCACGGCTTCTGGTCCGGCCTCATCGTCGCCACCACCATGACCGCCGGCCGCGACTCCACATGGGCCGTGGCCATCGCGCGTGCCCACGGCACCGCCATCGGTTCCGTCTATGGCGTGCTGGGCTGCCTCCTCTCGCAACAGCCGCACCTCATGGAGCTCCGCTTCCTGGCGCTCCTCCCCTGGATCGTCCTCGCCACCTTTCTCAAGCGCAGCCATGCATACGGCCCTGCCGGCGGTGTTGCTGCCGCGCTGTCCGGCATCATCATCGTGGGACGGAGGTACGACGAGGCGCCCATGGCCTTCACGATCACCAGGCTCGTGGAGACCTTCATTGGCCTGTCCTGCACCGTCGCGACGGACCTCGTGTTCCAGCGCAAGGCAAGGCCGACCGCCAGGGCCAGGGCGCAGCTCCACCGCTGCATCGCCGCGCTGCGGGAGTGCGTGGTTGGACTCACACCCACGTCGTCAGCGAAGCAGCAGCAGCAGCAGCAGCAGCAGCACAAGACGTTGCTGGAGCAGGTGGCGCTGCTGAAGAAGTACGCGGCGGAGGCGGGCAGCGAGCCGAACTTTCTGTGGCTGGCGCCGTTCCCGACCAGCTGCTACGACAAGGTTCATGGCAGCCTGAGCAGGATCGCGCAGCTGATTGGGCTCTACCAGCACGCCCGAGCCGTTCTCATCGACAACGCCGGCTGCAGCCGGCAGCTAGGCGCAGACATGAAGCGCTTCCACGGCGCCCTCTCCGCATCCCTGGAGGCACTGCTGGAGGAGGAGGACGTCGACCTTGAGGCCGGCAAAGGAATCTTCTGCGAAGATATGGCGGTGGTCAGGTCCTTCCTCGGCCATGCAAGGGAGGCACTGTCACAGCAGCAACAGCAGGAGGAAGAAGAGCAGTTGGCTGCTGTTTGCCTGGGCTCGATTGGGTTTTGCATGGGTGAGATGATGAAGGAGGCACAGCAGCTGGAGGCTCACATGCTGAACCTCAGCCTCCAACCTAGTCGCTGATGCTGCCTACATTGTACTATGCTCGATTCTCAACACAAAAAAAAAGTACTATGCTCATGTACATCTTACTATCAATGCACTGCATTGTTCAACGAAAAGAAAAACACTCATCTACTACTATCAACAGACAGCAAATGTAACACTTGTGATCACCCTTTATAAAAATCTCATCTTAGTCCAACCGTCTCAACTGCTACAACTCAGAGGAAGAGAAAAAAGAGCTACAATGGAACGCACCACCTTGATCATCACACAACAAAGACAGACGCTTCATTTGTCTCACAAATTACAATCTAATAAAATACATGGCCGCATCTTTTCCTACACAAGGCTAATGGCTGTGCGGGATGCAGGCGCGGCAGGGCCCAAGCCATTTAGCTGGTCTGCATCGCTTCCGAGTGGTACTTGTCCAAGTCTGCGTCTAGATCATTGGCAGAAACTGGCTGACTGCCACGCCCTCCCCTCCCTCGCCCACGCCCAACATCACCGCGCCCTCGACCACGCCCAGCAGCACTACGCCCGCCGAATCCACCTCTGCCCCGAGGCCATCCCCGACCACCATCACCGCCCCTTCCACGTCCGCCACTGCAAATATCCAGTACCACTAGATATGTCACTTGCTCAAAATCTTCCAAAAGAATTTGCGCAACACGATTGAAAATGCATATATGACAATGCAAATTGAACAGGGTGATTAAAAGAACTAACTTTATTTTGACTCATACTTGTGAGAATCGCTAATTGAAGTGTAATCTTTTTGACAAGCATATTTGGTTCCTTTGCTAGCCCAAGAAATTTGCAAGGTTAGGAGCTTAGGGGGAGCTAAAAAAAAGTCCTTGCTGCCATGGGCAAGGCAAAATATTTGCCTAATCGGCCCTCCCTATGGGCAAAGTCTGCTTGCTCTCCCTTTGGTCATGTTTTGGTCCTGGTCCTGGTCCACGTCCTGGTGCACACGCACGCACTCATTTTAAGCCCCCAAGGCAATAAGGACCAACACATACCCTTGCTTCTCAAAGTTATTGCTCATGTTGGCTAGTTTCGCTTGCCTCAGCCCTCAGATAGCAAGTTGGGCAAATAAACAAAACAATGCTGAACTTCGAGACACAGTAATGCATTAGAAGTACCACAACATACAAGATTTTACTAGAAATGAGGCAGGCAAAGGTAACTCATGCCTTGCTTGCACTTTGGACGATGAAGACGGTCCAATTCCACAAATTGTCAAACTAATGACACGCTAAGTTAGTCACTAACTACACAATACATGAATACTAACCATGTTAATGAATCTTTAACAGCCAGTGGCAGCTGCTGCCTAATTGTGCAAACGCTAATCAACCCAAAGGGTAAGGAACTAAGGATTGTGCTTAGAAGACAGTTTTAGCTTGACAGTAATTTAGACAAGTAACAATTTTAGCAGTAAGAAAATTCAGTAAATGTGATATCTGCTACTAACCTGTAGGAAGGAATGAAGTTTCCTATCGTCGGGGTATTCAAAGTAAAAATAGCAGGTGGTGGTGGTGCCTCAATATTTGTTCCAATGACCTCAATTTTCATAGGTTTGCCGTCAAGCTGCACATTGTTGTACCTCTTTAGAGCAGCTAGAGCATCTGATTTCCTTGAAAATATAACCTCTGCAGTTCCCTGGCGAATGGAGTTACAGTAATGAGGTGATCTGTGAGCACTCAAACTACGTGAAAGGTGTCCAAAGGCAGATACTGCAACAAAGTTGAGATGCGTAAGGGCTAAATAGTAAATACCTTTGATCTTCCACTCTTGTCGTAGTTAATGGAGTACCTCTTGAGATCGCCCACCTCAGCAAAGAGTTCCTGGGCAAATTAAGCAGCATGTTATAGAGTGACTTAAGAGAATCCCCTGGTTGCTCTAAAGGCGTGGAGCTAAATAATTCGGAGCCTTGTCTACTCCCAATGCTTTACGGTGGTATGGTTGGACAGTAAAAGAACAATATGAATAATGGAATTGGATTCCATAGATGGCGTCGAAAAAGAGCTGAATAATTGATAGCCTTGTCTACTACTTCTTCAGGATGAAGATGTGGATTGCGATGTTATCCTACTGTCGAAACCAGGTTAAAGGTATGCTGAGATGGGTAACACGCACAGGAGAACAGGGACTGCTATTCCTAGGGTTCTAGGAGGAGGAGGGTCTAGTGGTCTTACCTTGATGTCCTCGTTGGAGACGTTGTAGTCGAGGTTGGAGATGTACAGCTTGGTGCCCGTTTCGACCCCGGTCGGCGGCGCCACCATGGCCATCACCTGGGCGTGGGCATGGGCATGGGCCTGCTGGGCAGCATATGCAAAAGCCGCCGGCGCCTGTGCTCCCCCGACCCCCCGGAAAACAGAAGGCAAGTTTAGATTGAGTGAGCTCCAGATCTCTGAATTAGGAGGAGTAGTTCACCATACCGGGGGCGGGAAGTTGAATTGGTGGTAGGGCGCGGCGGCAGCGCGGGTGGCGGCGCGAGCCTGGAAGCGGCGACCGGCGGGTGCGGGTCCTCCCGACGCCGAGCCCGAGCCCGAGCCCGAGGCCGGGTTGCGGCGGCCACGGCCGCGCTGGGAGGAGGACTTGTTCTTGGAGATGAGGTCGTCGAGGGACATGTCCAGGGCGTCCGCCATCTCCCCCAACCCGGAGATAGATTCGCACGGCGGCTGAGGCGGCGGCGGCGGAGGAGGAGGATGGAGTCGTGGGGGAGGAGACGGCAGCGATAATTAATTGGCACACGAGAGAGAGAGAAGAAGAAGAAGCCCGGTCTGCATTGGGCCGGGCCGATCTACTACCGCCGGCTCGAGACGGGCTGGGCTGGGCTTCTACCGTATGTATCGTGTCATCTTCTTCTTCCTCTTTCCGAGGGGTAGGGAAGGGATAACTTCTCCAGCTTCGCCATTGACAACAATCTATCCGCGATTCAATCAAATACGTAGGAAACAGCAGCAGCAAGACCAGCAATCGGCTCCTCGAGAACCAGCGAGGAGGAGGATGAAGTCCTTCAAGAAGGAATTCACCCTGGGTAGGCATGCTACCTCCTCCTTTTCTTTCTGAATTATTATCAGTCTGCGTCTCGTTCGGGCGCTGAATTTGCTGATGGATGGATGCAGAGGAGAGGGCGAATGAGTCGGCCGCCATGATCGCCAAGTACCCCGGCAGGATCCCCGTATGTACCTCTCTCTCTCTACTCGCTGCCCCAAAACTTAATATACTACTCCTAGCTGCTACAGTACTAATTAGGAATAGGGTTCCGGAGTCCCGGGCATACTAGATTCGCGAACGACCTCTTTGATTGATTGAATTGAATTGAACTGAACTGTAATTTGCTTCCTCCTGTGGTCCGGCTCAAGATATAAGCTTGACAGGTGAGGGGAAAATTGAAATAATTCTACCAAATTAGCTTTTACTGTACTTGTCAAGTTTTTCAGCTGTGCTAAATTTCAATGGGGGGTCAGGAAGTTTGTTGGAGCCTCTGTAAACCACAAGGTTAAGTGCTTACCTTGAAATCCATAACCAGGGTGTTTGGAAAAAATAAAATAAAAGAAAAAAGACCCAGATATTTGGATACATGCCTACTATTAAAGGGGAGTTGGTGCATTCTCCTGGACGAGACTTGCCTGCTCCCCGTGCGTGCGCCCATCCGTGCTCCCGCGTACGTGGCTTGATTTGATTGGAACAAAATAAAGGCCGGCCCCACCCCCTTAAAATCAGAGGGAGGAGATGATTAGATTGGAAAGGAAAAAGGAAAAAAGACAGACGTAGGATGAAGTGGGAGCAGGGATGGGAGCATGGGGAGGGAGCAGGCAAGCCAGGTCCCATTCTCCTCACCTCCTTTCCCCTACGTTGGAGTTTTTCTGTCCATGTCCCCCCTCCTTGGTTTGGAATATTCTAAATCAAAACAGTACTTTCCTTTTCTTGTCCTACTAAAAACCATGTCCTGCATTAACTCAATCAAATCTTGCCAAAAGCATGTCCTGCATTAACTCAATCAAATCAAATCTTATCAAAACCTCAACTAAATTAGAACTTTCTTTGCCTTCTCTTATCCATATCTGTATCAATTATTACCAAAATCTCAACTAAATCAAAAAAAATCTTGCCTCCCCGTACACATACTCAAATCGAATTAAATCTTAACAAAATCTAGAATATGGTGGATGTAAGGTATGTGTCGGACATGATTTGTGTTGAACCATTAGAATATTTATGGCCCCGTTGCAACTCACGGGCAATTAGCTAGTACTAGTAAGTGCGCACATGCAACACACGTTAATATTTAGGAATATAATAATTGCATGCTAATATTAGGTATGCTATTATTTGTGTGTTAATCTGTGATTAGTGCAACGCCATTGGAGCAGTCTAGGTCGTTGGATTAACTTAGTTCGATGGCCGAGATCAATTGGATCTGCCCCTTTGGGTCTTTTTATATTGGTATAGATGATATAGTGAAGCACCAAATTTGAGAACTGCACATCCATGATAGTACTAGCTAATTGCATGTGCGTTGCAACGGTGACATACATATTCTAGTGGTTCAACACCAATCGTGTCCGACATATACCTTACACCCACCATATTCTAATGCAGGATTTGATTTGATTGAGTTAATGCGAAAGATTTGATTTGGTTGGCCGTGTCCGACATATACATGGAACGATTTGATTTAATTGAGTTATGCAATTATCTCACACCCACCAACGGGGGTGCTCCAAAAGATTTGACTTGATTTGATTGCCTATGTCCGGCATATAGCTGGATTGATTTTATTTGGTTGAGTTAGTGCAACTACCTTACACCGACCAACACGGGCCCTGCAAAAGACTTGATTTGATTTAATTCAGTTAATGAAGAACATGGGAGAGGGGATGCTTCACCAACGGACGTATGACCACCAACTCTCCTTTAATAGTAGAGATTTATGAGGTTAAAGAATGCATATCCATGACACATATGTAAATGTTCATATGTGATAATAAAAGTAATAGGACCCTGCTTCGTTGGTAGCATCGTAGGTGTTTTGCCATTTGATTTCTTCATTAATAAGGTTGGTTCTGCCAAAGCTGGCCACATTTTAACAATTTGTCTTTCAGCTTGTTTTCCCATCGTAAGCTGATTTGTTCGGCATTGGTGCCTTCGGCATCGTGTGGAACACATATTAAGGTGGTGTGCATCGATTGATGCAGAGTCTGGGGTGATCCTACATGTGCCTTTGCATTTCTAAGTTGTAGTGATTGTGATTGTAATTCTTGTGTTAAACAAGTTAATTGAGCTCAACTAAATCATCCCAAAGGCCAAATGCCTAATTCCACAATTCAGAAATCGCCATGCAAAGAGCAACACCCGAGCTACGAAGTCAAATCTCATATCACTAGTCACCACACCTCAAAATTGATGGGAATTGCAGCTAGCAAAGTGAGCAACGAAACGAGCAACTGGCGAGCGTGGTAGGGACCCAAGGACAGGAGAACTCGTTTCTGTCGGACTGTGGCCTTGTCTGTTGCCAACATGGAATGCGCCCTGTCCCTGAAGAAACCCATGAAATGACTATCTTTTGCCTGAGCAAAGCGGACTGCGTGCATGGGGCCATGTCTGGCTAGATAAAGCCATCACCGCTCGATGCAGCACACCAGTGAGCCTGGGCAGTAATCACCCATGGTTGCCATGTGCTTGCTCCACCCCTGCTTTATTTGTTGTCAGTTGTCGCCAGACTTTGTAGTTGGGAGAAGTGCAGTGCTACTGTTCCATTTTATGCACTTCATTAAAGATACCACTGTGGTACTGTTCCATTTTATGCACTTCAGTAGTGATAGCTGAACACATATACAGCCCCATAAACTTAGAAACTGCAGTGTGCTTGTGCGAGGGTTTTTTTTGTCGGACGGAATTTCTGGTAGCCGGAACTGCCCTCCCCCTCCACAAGAAACATTGTTACCGGTCAAAAATATTTGGTTAAATTTGAATTTAGACGTTCAAAACTACATCAAATATGTTGAGGTAAAAAAGAATAATGAGCTGCCACTGGGAGGATTTGAACCCATGACCTAGGCGATAGGGACGATTCCAGCTGACCATTGAATCGTCCTCTACTTCTCCTGCAATATATGGTAGAAATGTACTTGTTCTGTCCTTAAAAAAATGAATTCAAAGTTCATTTGAATTTTTTCTGGTAAAATATCTAGATTCCCTGTTACCGTCGGTAACCAGACCTACCGTTAACCCTCCAATAGGAAAAATATCGATCAGTAAAAAAACCCTAGTTTGTGCTGCTTTTATATGTGTGTTCTTGCTGTCAGAAGAGACTATATGCGTATGGAATTTGATGCCAAGACATCTTTGTTGGTTGTCATGATTTTTTTCATGCTTGGCGACATACTAAATAGACTTTGAGATGATGAATATGGAGAAGTAAAACAAAGTTGCTATTTCTCACCCAACCCACGAGTCATTCTACTCTCCAGAGATTTACTCAAACTGACGGGATTTGAGCAACTTCTAGACTCTGACAAAAAAACATGCATTTCCCTCTCCGTTGTTTCTCTTAATCAAATGTATCTCTGTTTGCATATATGCTGCTCCAACATTATGCTCATGTTTGCATTTGCAGGTGATTGTTGAAAGGTTTTCGAGGAGTAAACTTCCAGAAATGGAGAAGAGGAAGTAAGTGTATCTCAGAGACCAGATATATGCATGATATGTTAAAATTCTATGTACCAGATTGATAATTGCTTGTTTGTGATTGCAGGTACCTGGTTCCGTGTGACATGCCAGTTGGGCAGTTCATTTTCATCCTGCGCTCCAGGTTACATCTGTCTCCAGGGACGGCGCTTTTCGTGTTTGTGCGCAACACCTTGCCCCAGACCGGTGAGATTTAATTCATGCTGGTGTTGCACATAAATCCATCTGTTTGTAAGTTAATACTAATTTGTTAACAATTTTTTCAGCTAACCTGATGGGTAGCGTGTATGATTCGTACAAAGATAAGCAGGATGGCTTCCTCTACATGTGTTACAGCAGCGAGAAGACATTTGGGTGACATCTGCCTGACTGCAATTCAGCGTAGTGCACCCAATCCCAGTGTACATATGTGACATCAGTCTCTTGTTAAATGTTAAGTTGATCAGTAGCAGCCTCTGCTACAATCTCTAGTTTATTTTACTTGCACGTTTCATATCTGTATTGCTCCCGGCAAAAGAAAAAAAAACCTGTATTGTTGTATCACCGAAGTAAACTTATTTCCCTGTGCATGATGCTGCTTGCGAAGTCCTTTGGCAAGGATGGGCGTATATATGAATAGAAGTGTTGATTGTGATGAAGTAAACGCCTCCTGCTGAGCTGTTGACATTACAAAGCTCATGTGCCTACATGCGTCATTGCTTAGCTAACGAGCTCTGTCATCGTCATATTTACACGTTGTCCACTCGTTTCAAAATGAGTTTGCTTGGAGTAGCGATTACTATAAGAGTTGTCTTGGAGACCGTGCACATGCCTACGATGGTCGTCGGCGTGGTAGGACGTGAATGGGGATTTGTAGCCCACGAGTAAGAAATGTGATGGCAATTCTAAAATTGAACTTCAAATGTGGTGGTTTTCTACGATTTTCACTTCAAGGCCGGAGTAGGGTAGCCCC